AACCCTAAACCCCTCAACCCCTAACCCTTTTGCAGGTGCGTGCCCGGGTACTACCTGCGTCGTAGTGAGGATGGTCGGGTGGAGAACTCGACCTGCATGAAGCTGGGCAGCGCTAGGGTTTTGGGGTTTAGGGTTTAGGGTTTTGGGTTGAAGGTTTGGGGTTTAGTCTAAGGTTAGAAGTATGGGCCCCTAACAGGGCGCTTAGGCCTTTTAGGAGGATTCTAGGGACCCTTAAAGGTACACATAGGGTATATAGTAGGTGTATAACGATCCCAGGGTTAAGGGCCCTTACTAGGGGCCCATGGCTTCAACCTTAGATTTAGGGTTTTTGGTTTAGGGTTTAGGTCTTAAGGTTTAGGGTTTAAGGTTTAGGGTTGAAGGTGTTGGGTTTAGGGTCTCGGACTTAGGGTTTAGCGCTGAGCAGCCTACTCTATCTTATATGGAGCTTTGAGGGGTTGGGGGCCTTAGAGGGCTGTGAAGGGCTTCCTATAGATATCAGGTATTGTAAGAGACTTACTTGGAGGCCCAGGGGACTTAGTAATTAGGTTATAAATAGAGTTACCCCAATTATAACTGGAGTTACCCAAATTATAACCCTACTTATAACCGAGTTACTAATTCCCCTGGACCTCCGAGTAGCGTATGCAAGGGCTTACAGGGCTGAGGTGGGAGGAACGAGGAACCTGGACTGTTCACAGCTTTTGAATCCCCAAAGACCTCGGTGTAGAGTCTCTGACAGGGAAGGGCTGCCGAGACGTTTGACAATCCAGGCAGGGATGTAAACCCCGCGAGCCTGCACCCTACACCATGTTCCCTATACCCTAAGCCCTAAACCTTAGCCCTAAACCCTAAACCCTAAACCCTACACCTTAGCCCTAAACCTACACCAAGCAAAGATGCAAGCTCAAGCCCTACAAGGCAGTACCTACACGCAAGCATTAAATCTTGAACCCGTGCCCTCATGCTGAGATATCTCCGAAACCCCAAAAGCCTTGACCCTAAACCCCGAGTCCTTGATCGTAGGAACAACACTGCCACCGAACGCTATATGATGGCGAGCCCGGCACGCTTCTGGCCTTTTTTTTGTCCATAGACGTGCTGGGCTTTCTCCTTCTATTCTGCGTGCTGCCCTTCTTTCGACGGATGTAGGGTTTGGAACTTATTTCCCAATTACCCAGCCTTTAAACTGTTTGGGTTCTTATAATTTAGTAGTAATCTCAAAATTTAACCTTTTACTTTCCTGGCTTGTTGGTGAACGTACGAGAAACCCTAAACCCTAAACCGTTTAGACTTTCCAAGCTTTGCATGTCCAAGCTGGTGTAAGCGGTGCGAGAATGCGGAAGATGCCACGTACAATCAGGTAACAAGGGGGCCTTGATAGTTAGAATAGGGCTTTTAGGGCCCATTGCACGAGAATCATAACAAGGAACCCCCAACATAGTATTGGTAAGTATTTCGGCCCCTACATTGGCCCGAAATGCAATTTAGGGTTTAGGGAATTTGAACGCTTCTTTGCCCTGGAACCACAGTTAGCCATATGGGCAGTTCTCTAAACTAGGGCCCGTCTTTTGGGTCCCAAATATATTACGGCACCCTTATAAACAGGGCCCTAACTAAAAGGGACCCTAATTTAGAGAGCTACCCATATAGAGAGTCACTATGCTATGGTAAAAAGTTCTATGATAATACATGAGCCGTGACCACACCCGAGCAAGCAGCCCTAAACCCTAAACCCTAAACCCTAAACCCTAAACCCTAAACCTTAGCTTAGGAATGGGCTTGCACAACTCATGAACGATACCAGTTCCCAGGGCCTTCCGGATTCTAAAGCCTAACAGTACATAGATGCAAGGCTAAACTGTCATAGAACCCAAAAGGCTCCATGTACCTATACAGTATATACATAGGCCTTGAAGTGCCTAAAAAGGAATTTGTTTTATGGCCTAAGTATCTAATATAAGTGTACATGGACCCTAAACCCTTAACCCCTAAACCCTAATCCCTAAACCCTAAACCCTAAACCCTGAAGCCCTTGGTTAATGGAGACTGAAGGTAGGATCCTTGTCCTTGTCTGCGTTGAGCCCAAAACCCTCACCTCCAAGCCCTGGGCCCTGAATCATTTTGGGTTTAGGGTTTCGGGTTCAGGGTTCAGGGTTTAGGGTTTAAGGTTTAGGGCTCAGGGTTCAGGGTTTAGGGTTTAGGGTTTAGGGTTTAGCCAGGAGCGGCTAGTTGTGGACATGATCCGGCACTGGGCCATCCAGCACCGCATGGATGGCTTCCGCTTCGAGTCCCAGCGCAAGAAGTTGCAAGGTTATTTAGCCTGCAGGGTGGGGGTATATGTAGATTAACAGGCGTTTAATTGCAAGACCATTAAGGTTTGAATTGAAGGGAGCCGTAAGAGCTTATGACGTTTTTTTTTGTGCAAGAAAGACGATTAAGGTTTGAATTGAAGGGAGCTGTAAGAGCTTACGAGGTTTGTAGAATTGATCTGTGCCAGTGTTGCCCCTGCGGCCCGGTACTGGCATGCGGGGCAGGAGGCTTTTTTGGGAAGGGGGGCGTTTGAGTCTCACCGTTGTAGAGATGACCCCTATAACCCTGAACATTACTTGACTTGGAGGTCCAGGAGACTTAGTAAGTCGGTTATAAGTAGGGTGATAACTAATTGGGGTAACTCCAGTTTGGTACTTATAACTCTACTTATAACCTACTTACTGACCTCCCTGGGCCTCCAAGCAAGCCGTGTAAACCCAAGAGGCAAATCTTGTGAATATGAGATGAAAAGACGGGATCACTGGACAGGTAATGGCGCTCATCTTCAGGGTTAAGGCTGAAGGGTAATTCTGAAGATCCTGATCCTGGCCATCATGATCGTCACCATCACCATCGTCCGCACAGTCATCATAAAGGCGGCTGACCTCCCAGACGTCGTGACCTAGGTTTACAGTAGGGTTAGGGGCTTAGTTCTTAAGCTTACATCAGGTGTAGTAGAGGGACCTTTCTACTAACCCAAGACCCTATTCTAATCATTAAGGCTCCTGCATAATGAATATTCCCCGGAGCTGCCCCAAGAATTCACGACGAAGGACCTTATGGGACACATCACCTTGGAGTGCATCCAAAAGTGCCGCGCGGCGCTGGACGAGCTGTCCGTGGAGGAGCATGGCATTGATGGACCAAGGCGGGCGAAATTGGACCCTTAGAAACTCCAGGACCTGCGTTTTTTGGGGATGTAGGGTTTAATATAAGGGCCTAAATAATTACCTATACTATTTTGGGGGCTCCGTGCTACAGTTATAATATAATGGCCCCCAAAACCCTGTTCTAACTATTGAGGCCCCTACATTACTGTGATTATAGGTCACCGGCTGGATGCTGAAGATACTTGAAGGATCATGGGACTTAGTAAGTATGGTTATAACTAAGGTAACTATACTGATAACCCCAATTAGGGGACTTATAACCTTACTTACTATGTCCCATGATCCTCCAAGTATACGAAATCCTGGGACCAAAATCCCGGAAACTCACATTACACGGTCTTTGTTCCTGCGGCCCCCAGCGCAAAACCCTATAGGAGCCAATGGGGACCTGCACCCAGAGCCCAGAGCTTCCGAAACGATGGCTTTCACTGAACCCTCAACCCTAAACCCTAAACCTTCTGAAACGATGACTTTCACTACACCTCAGCTTGTCTAAGCCCCTTACTCGGAGGCCCAGGGGACTTAGTAAGTCGGTTATAAGTAGGGTTAGGGTTTAGGGTTTAGGGTTAAAATTGGGATAACTCCAGTTAGGCCACTTATAACTCTACTTATAACCTACTCACATAGTAGTAAGGTCCTGTCAAGCCCCTATAGCTGAAAAGCTAAAGTCCCTTGAAGACGCGTTGATCTGACACAATGCAGGGACAGCAAGTTAATCATGCAGTTTACATCATTTCTATACCTTGAAAAATATACTGCTAGAGGGATCCTTGATCCATAATATGTTCCGTGAGCAAGTAGCCATAAACCATTCTGCTCCTCATTGAAAACCAGTTCAAAAGCATTGAATCCTTACGAGCAACACCTAAACCCTAAATCCCATAAACCCTAAACGCCATCCCAAACCTCAGACCCTAAACCCTAAACCCTAAACCCCAAACCCTAAAAGCCCCACTAACATCTCGAACTCCGAGACGCAGGCTGCTTCTGTACGGCGAAGGGTGGGAGTTCGGTGAGATTGAGGGCGGAGCACGAGGAGCGACGGCCTGCACCGCGTTCGCAACTCCTTTTAGGGTTTAGGGTTTAGGCTTTAGGGTTTAGGGTTTAGGGTTTGTTTTTTTTGCTGGGGGGCTTGGGGGTGTTGGGTTGAGGCTGGTTTTGGTGCTTAAGATTTTGTTTTGGTGCTTGAGGTTTATAGGCTCTGGGATTTAGGGTTCAGGGTTTAGGGGCTTTCGGGATTTATGAATCTACCGCGTAGATAGTGTGTTAGCAAGTTCGTGTTGTTGGTGGTTCTGGAGCCTGCTGCGCGCTTGCGTGTTTTTTTCGCGGGGTGTGCGTTTAATCTTGGGACCTTCAGAATGAATAGGGCTTGGGGGCATAACCCCCCCAAATCCTCTTCCAATTACTAAGGCCCCAAACCCTTAACCCCAAACCCTAAACCCTAAACCCTAAAGGACCCCCTGTGTTAGGGCTTCAGAAGTTCATGGCTTGAGCATTGCTGCTTAGGGTTTTGAAATACGAAGTGCTCTGGGGCGTCGGATTGAATGAGTTTGGGTTTAGGATTCAAGATGTGCCTCAGGCGAAGACCAACTAATTTAGGGTTTAGGGTTTAGGGTTTAGGGTCAACATGCTCTAGGTTCCCGCAAGTCCTCCACCTAGCCGCCCTCAAACCCAACAGCTCTTATGCCGTTCAAGCCATAGACTGAAGGTCAACGACATCTTGCCGGCACGGGCATCGGGTCTTTCAATGATCACCTGAGAGGGGCCGCCCACGCCTCAACTTTTCCTGCTCTGGGGTCGAGTTTTAGGTTTCTTTCTTTCAAGGTGCTTACCTAAACCCTAAGCCCTAAACCCTAAACCCTAAACCCTGAACCCTTACCCCCAAAACCCAGCCTAAACCTGAACCCACGTCGCAGCGCCCAAGCCTTGGTGTGTTTCAGGGTTCAGGGTTTGCAGAGTTTAGCAAACCTGCCTTTGCACCTGCATGATTGCACCTAAGCCCTAAACCCCGAACCCCAAGCCCTAAGCCCTCAGCCCTAAGCCCTCAGCCCTAAGCCCTAAGCCCTAAGAACTAAACCTTATCTGTGTGCAGAATGAGGTTGTCACAGACCTCGACACAAGGGTCAAGCCGCATCGGCATCCTACAGAAACCCTGCAAAACGGGCTTAGGGTTTCGGGTTTAGAGAGCTAGGCTGGTTTTTGGGACAGTTCTTATTTTCCTTATTTAGGTTTATAAGGGACCCTTTATATAGATATTTGTTCAGAGGGCTTAAAGGCCAACCCAGCACCTTATTCCGTAACAACGCGATCCGCGCTTGAATCCGATGGGGTTTAGGGTTTAGGGTTTGCGAAGGAGTTGCAGATCAGGGGTGGGAAGTACTCAACTGCCTTTATGGTAGAAGCCCAAAAGTTGGAAACCCAATAGCCTCAATCCTTAAGAGAAATGCAGAGGGAATCCCAGCACTAATTGGCCTTACTCCGGTTTCCAAACTTTCATGCTTGGGCAGTCTGGAGCCTGGATGTGTGCTTGGATGCCAGGCTCCTGAGCCTGGAGTCGGCGGAACCCTAAACCCTAAACCCCAAAGGATTTAGGGTTTAGGGTTTAGGGTTTAGGGGGTTGGGGTTTAGGGGTTTAGGGGTTTAGGGTTTAGAGTTTAGAGTGCATATTTCGGCTGCCGTTGGCATCCAGTTGGGGGATATCGATTGCACGGAGACCCGCAGGAGCTCCAAAATCCCAGGGCATGTATACGCTCTCAAAAGCCCTGGTAGCTATGCCAGTGAGGCGATGGTCACAGAGTACCTCAAAGGTGGATATGTGCTATCGGTGGAAAAGGCTGACCCTATAGATCCCGTCGAGGTTGCTTCGAGCTCTGAAGATGAGATCGCCTACCTGGAGGAGTACGAATCAAGAGCTATATCACAAGGGATGCCTGTGAACATAGCAGAGGAATCCGCCGCGTTCCCGAAAAGAGTCCGCGAAGGCCATGAAGGCAATGGACGACCTCATTGTCTATCGAGATCGTCCGATAAAGCAGGAGCCTGGACAGTGCAAAACGAGCTCCATCTGCTGCTCTTGCGGAGGCGGAGGAGCAGCCGACATCTTATTACGACACCCTAAACCCTAAACCCTAAACCCTAAACCCCTAGCCTTCTTCCCATTCGCTGGTGGGCTGTTCAAGCTGCCCTCTTTGAGCCCTCTTTAACTCCCTAAACCCTAAGCCCTAATTTAGAAGCTTAAATAAGTACCTATAATATTCCTTAGGGTTCCTTACTAGGATTATAGTATAATGGGCCCCAAAACCCTATTCTCATTATTAAGGCCCCTATACATTAGGCAACCCTAGGAGGAACCCTCATGGCCTTAGGGTTTAGGGTTCAGGGGTTTAGTAGGGCTTTTAGGGTTTAGGGTTTAGGGGTTTAGTAGGGCTTTTAGGGTTTAGGGTTTAGGGGTTTAGTAGGGCTTTTAGGGTTTAGGGTTTAGGGGTTTAGTAGGGTTTTAGGGTTCAGGATTCAGGGTTTAGGGGGAACCCTTATAGCATCCCGCTGTAAACCCTATGAAACCCTTTTTCAACCACCATAAAATCCTATAGCGCCCGTATATCAACCTAAGACAGCCGCACAGAGCCACCACTACATGCACCCTCGAAAGCCCGATAACGCCCTGATGGGGGCTCTTTTTCAGAGGTCTTGGGGGGCAACGCATTCGAAGATCCACGGCTTCAGGGCTTCGCAACAGGCCACCCCGACGGGTCTTCTCGCTTGGGGTTTCCTTTAGAAGGGTTCCTTTCAGGGTTCTATAGAGATTCAGGATAGGAGTTTGGGGTTTTAGGGCTTAGGTGTTTTTTTTTTTTTTATCTCTTTGGTGGCAGCTACCCTTGCGGGTTTAAGGTTTAGGGTGTGTAGGGTTTAGGGTCTACTTGGAGGTTCATGGGTAGTTATAAGTGGGGTTATAAGTTTTAATATGGGTTATAAGTATACTTACCATACTTCTAACCCTACTTATAACTACCCATGAACCTGCAAGTAGGGCTTAC